AATTCCGTATTTTGAACTGCATCTATTTTCTAAAATACGCATTTCAAGATATTTCCCTTTTCTAAAACACGCATTTTAAGCCATGTCCGTTTTTTTAGACATATATTTCAAGATATAACAGTTTTCTAAAACACGCGTTTTTAGCTAGATCCACTCATTAAAATACATATTTCCAGAGTTCCAATTTATAAAGTAAGCAATTTTAGTTAATTTTGTCAAACTTGAAAAAGTTAAGTTCATTTTCAGATCTACGCATTTTGAGTTATATTCATTTTTACAAACACGCAATTCATTGTATGTCCAAAATAAAAAGTTTATCTTTTATCAACAAATTCTAATTGTATTTTTTAAGCTAAGATTGTTTAATTGATAGTAGCTGATTCATTAATTCGATAAATTTTTTGTTCTGCGAATCATTGTTTCCCAATGTACACAACATATATTCGGAATACAGGTAGTGATATGTGCAACATATTTTCAGAGTACAGTTAAAAACACACACAAAACTCAATTTTTATAACCATGAAAATTGGTTTAACATTCATATTAACCCCATTATTTTGAGTGAAATCTGGTTATTACTGTTATGTTCTGTAAATTGAACTTTAAGAAACAGAATCTAAAACATATGCAAACATAATTAGCTGACACTTGTAAAATGACATGTATGTAGGCAGTTATTGACAGAACTGATTAACTGATTTGTGAATAAGATAAATTACTTTCTTGACACAATTTCTTACGTTGGAAAAATAAGGTTTTGTGAATAAAGTCATACTCTTGAATTTCACCTTATTTTCATAACAAGAAAAAAAAGCTAACATATTGACAAGAAGTATATTGACAAGATTGAGCTATAATCAGCACATTAAGCATTAGTATTCAATAAAAAATTTAAGCTTAAAAATTTTTTGTTCTTATTCTAAAAAAATATATCAAAACATCATATTCTGGCTGAAAAAACTCTAATAACCAAAACTTTGAATTATGGTTAACATACAAAATTGGCTTATGCAATTTTTGCAACAACTGTAGTATCTGATATCTGCAGAATTCTAATATGCTTATCTGTAATACTTGTAAGAAGATTCAATAGGAATTTTTTCAATAACGTAGAAAGTTTTCCTTTTGATACTATTACCTTAATAAAAATCTCGTTTGTAAATATTTCAGTTGTTGTAATAGCCTTTTAGGAAATAAGACTCATAACTATAAACGGTAGACTATCAAAGCTGTAAAATGTTAAAAAATACTCCTAAATCCAAAAAATGTTTTCAAATTAATTCATTATGGATGTATTGACCGACAATGAAACTCAACTGGGGAAAACTTTATAGCTTTCAGTACATTATAATTGCAAAACATTCAGAAAATAATTTAAGCGAACACAATACAGCTTTTTGAAAAAAATTATAAAAATAATTTAAACGAATGATAAAACTTTTTTTTAAAAAAATTATAAAAATAATTTATAGGAATAATACAACTTTTTGGAGAAAAAAAATTATAAAAATGATTTAACGACAAAATCCGTGCAATTGAAATGAAAATTAAGAGTTTTTAAGAGTACATTTTTACAATTTTTACAAAATATTTCAAGTTGATACCCTTAATGAAGTAAATTAATTTCTAAATAAATTAATTTAAATCCGTGCGTCACTTACACTCATATAACTGCCACTAATTAACCTCAACCAAATAAGCTCTGTAATGATAATTTTCAAACTATTTAAGGTAAGAAAGGCTTACAAATAAATAGTCGTATTTTTCAAATAGAATTGATTTTAAGTTCTTCAGAGGTATCGTGGTTAATTGGTTATTTGTTTATTTTGGAACGGAAGTTTTGTAGTGTGCACAGCAATTTAATTCACAAGAATAACGCCTTTCCCTGAATATTTAAAATTCTGTCCCTAAATATTTACAATTTCGTCATATTCAATTTTGTTATAAAGTTTCAGTTTGTATCTCAGAAACTTTAATGTATAATAATTTTTTTTACCTAAATGTTAACCAAGAATAAAAATTTAAGGGTACATGACCCTAACGCATACATGGTCCTTATTTCTTATACAAATTTAAAATTATAATTTGTAATGGTCAATTCTGTATTAGATTCTATTGCCCTTCAAATGACCTTTGTTTTTTATGTTGATTTATGAAGCAGGTTAATTTGAATTTAAATGAAATCCTTTGTGAACTTTACCTTACAGTTTTCGTACCTCAATTGGTTTGTATTTTAAATTGAGTTACTAAAAAAACTTCGAAGCAAAAGAATTTCATTCAAATGCTGTAAATCCGCAGAAACTAATATGTATTTTAAAAGACTGCTTGTTTTTATTTTTTTATTTTATAAAATGTAAATACAAAACCTATATTACACTTCAAACATATATGTTTAAGTTACATCTTATTTTTAACACCAGACGCTGATTTCCATATGTTCTATATGAAGGTATAAGATTGAGACTTTATGGTAAGACTTCGTGATTTTAGAAACTTGCAATAATATTTTTAGAGCAGGATTTAGTTGAAATAGGTTCAAATCAAAGAATGCGTATCTTATTTTCCAATGAAAGTTGTCAAATTAAGTTGTTATATGGATTTGAATGCTTAGAATTTTGTGCATTTGCAATGTACCTAAGTTAGTAGCAAGAGAGGCGAGCTTGGTTTGCGAAGCAAACCATATAAGATTGCGTACCAATTTTCGTGGTTTGGCGAACGTTAGCGAGGGGCGCAGCCCACTAGTTTATATATATTATATCTAAGTTTTGATCGCTAAACAAGAAGAGAATTTTACAAAAATCAGATTGAAATAAAAAAAATTCAATGCCAATCCAATATTTCCTATCCAGTGCCAAAAATCCAATATTTTTAAATAAAACATGACTGCAATCAACTATGCTAAAATGCCACAATGCTTCGTCCATTGCCGCTAAAACCCTAAGCACGCCCCTGAAGAGGACAAGTGATTCATGCATTTCTAAGAAAATATTTAAAACAAGATTTTTTTCTTAAACTGATTCTAAATCGAAGAACGGGAGACATATTTTCCGAAAATGCCCATGCATGCCAAGAAAAATTTGTAAAGCATTTTTAAAAGAGCTCATTTCTATACGCACCAAAAAAAACCTGGGAGAGTGCTACGTACCGTACACTTTATTCGGTTCAAAAAATGTGTGGCACAACGAAATTCATTTGAAACTGACTCTAAATCAATGAATTAGTTCCATATTATTCGGCAATGCACAGGAATGGAATATTTTTAGCACATTTTCAATTCTTTCCAAAACGAGTAAAATTTGCTGATAATGCCTGTGGCGGACATCATGAGTTTTTTTTTTTTTTTTTTTTTTTTTTTTTTTTTTTTTNTTTTTTTTTTTTTTTTTTAATATTGCACATCAGGATTTATTTGAAGCTGATTCCAAGTCAAAGAATAGACTTCTTATTTCCCAAAAATACCCGTATATGCCTTATATATTGAAGAAAATTTTTATAAGTCTTTAATTCTTCCCAAAATGAATAAAATAAGCTGAAAATACAATGTGCTGGACATTTTATTTATTTATAATAAGACTTGGTATAGCAGGATTGCTTTAAAACTGACACTACATCAAAGAATGGGCATCATATTTTCCGAAAATACTGACATATGTACCGAGAAATATTTGTAGAAAATTTTTAAAGTGTTTAATTCTGTCCAAACTAAGTAAAATTTGTCGAAAATGTAGCAGACACTTCAGGAATTTGCAATAAAATGTTGCACAGCAGGATTCGTTTGAAACTGATTCCAAGTCAAAAAAATGTGCATTATATTTTCTGAAAATATCCTTACCCGCCACGAAATATTAGTGTAACATGTAAACAAAAATATTTATTACTGTACATAACAAAGAAATCCGTGGAAAACGCCATGCAGGGGACACAATTCTAATGCACGTCTAGAAATATTTGTAAAAGATTTATAAAAGAGTTTATCCACCCAAAACGAGTTAATTTTTTGGAAAATTCAATGTGGTTGATATTTATGAATAATAATACTTGGTTCTAAAGAATTTATTTGAAACTAACTGTAAGTTGAGGAATATGCGTCATTATTTTCGAAAATGCCCTTTAATGGTTAGAAATATTTCCAGAACAATTTTATTAACTTAATTTAAAATAAAAAAGGATTATGTTTTAAGTTAGGTATATGGTTTTATGAAATATTTATTCATCATAAAATTATGTATTCAGCCATGTGAAATATTCCTCAATATTCAAATACTCCTCATAGATTCAAAATTTATGAATGCTCTTTTTTCTGTAAAAAAAAATAAAAATACAAGAGCTAGATTTAATTTCTATTAAATTTAGAGTGTAAACAAACTGAGACCTTAAAACGCGCGTGTGCTAAATATCAGCATGATATAAGCAATGCAATAAAGTTTATATTTGATTTTAAATAAAAGTTCGGGTGTTTATTCAAATTTATAATTTCGTTTTTTCTAATAAATTTCAAACTGAAAAATTTTTTATTCCGAACATTTAATGTGCTAGAATTAGGAGTTATATTAAACGTTCTCTTTAATCGAAACATTCAAGTACAATTGAGGAAATAATCCTTCCGATTGGTATTTGATTTCTGCATTAAGGAATCTTATTGGCATGTCACAGAAACGACACGTTAAGCCTTTCAAATCGTAAGTCTTTCAAAGAGTAAGGATCTAATGAATCGATCGATTTGGCTGATTAAACTATTGTTTATTTAATTGAACAAAAGATACTTCGAAATTCTTTATTGTCCTCGGGAAGGGATTTAAGTTTTATTACTGGGGGGGGGATTTTTCAAAATGTGACACGTCTAAACAAGCTCTAATTAGATACCACCCCTCCCATAAATTGCTCCCAATTCACTGCAGTCTGTCCCAAAGTTCAGCAGGGCTACGTAAGGTCATACAACAGCCTTGTGAAAAATAGGGTGTGACAGTTCCCCCAGTAAAGTGTGGCAAGATCAAGAGCAAGAAAATTAAAATGTTCTCTTTAATTTTTCCTTCTGATTACTTGGTATATAAGCTCGCGATCGATCGTTGCAAATCATTCAATTCATTCTTTCAGTTCTTGTTCTTTCTCTCGTAGAGAAAACGATTTTTATAACATTCAATATGTTTAAGGTAAGAATAATTCGAATTAAATTGTCATAGTCTTTATAGTTAGATTGTTTGCTCTAGTTTTTAAATGAGACTGTTTGTTCATTAAGCTTCTACATTCAATAATTTTGCCTCATTAAATTATTTCAGAGTAATTTCTAATTTGTTTTTGCAAGAATAATTATTATAAATTTTTTTAAGTATTTTAGAAAGCACGAAAAATTTGGATTATATTTTCTCCTAATCTTTCTATAGATTGAGATATTCAGTAAATGTTTTAAATTTATAAAACTATAAACAAAGCTTAATTTAGATATTAAAGTAAATTTAAGTAAAATAACAGTATTAAACTTTTTTAAAGCTGTTTTTTTAAAAATCGATACTAATTAATGTTATTGAAATATTTTATTAAATTCGTAGAACTTGAAACCAACTATTAATAAATTATTTATTTTATAGACTATCATTATAAACATAAAGTTCTAATTATAAATAATATAAGAGTGATAAAAAAAAATTGATAAAGCTTTTCTTCTAAAGCATAGACTTGTCAATATTATTGAATTCATTTTGTTAAATCCATAGAAACTGAGAGATTAAGCCTTGTTAGTAAAATATCTATTTTAAAGCTATCACTATAAACATAAAGTTCTCATCCCTCATTCTAAAATATAGGTTTACTATATCTTTATAATCGCAAAAAAAAAGCACGTGAAAATTAGCAAACAAAATAACTATTAAATAAATAAAAAATTTAATAAATAAAAATATTTCTGGAAAATTCTGCCTCTCGTTGAATCGTTTTCATAAAAAAAATTGTTTTAGAGTTTTTTATCATCAATGTTTTCATTAAAGTATTTTGTGAAAAAGTCCTCTGATTATTCTGTAGCGAGAGTTGATAGTTAACTTTAAAATTTTTCATAGACAATTTACATGCAAAATTTGCCCGTATGTAAGAAAACGATTGTAAGAAAATGAGTGACGCTATTTATTTTCGTTATGACGTCATTATTTTATTATTATGACGTTTGATTGTTTTAATTATTATTTGATTTATATATATATTTTTTAATGCAGGCTCTCCTTATCGCCTCCCTCGCCGCCGTTGCATTGGCTCAATACGGCTATGCTCCAGCACCTGCATACGGTCATCATGATGACTACGTAAGTTTAATTCATATTTTCAATCTATGTTATTTAAGGGTAGTTGAGAAATATTATTGTTTTAAATATGTTTTATAGGCTATATTTTCGAAATGTAAAAACTTATGATTAAAAAATTTAGAAAAAAAAGGAGTAAAAACTTATGGAATGTTTATAAATTCAAAAGGTTAAAGCTCATACTTTCTTAACTGAATTATTTCTTTAGTTTAATCAAGGTGGTTTTTAACATACAGAAAGTGTTATCTGTTAGAATTTGTTAAAAGAACAATGAAATATTATTGAATAAAATATGATAAAAGAGCTGATATTGGCATCCATGAAAATGTGACTTTGAAAAACGACGAGTAAAAGTAAACATTTATAGTTAAATTTCCAAATTGTAAGAAAAAATAAAATTTTTGGAAAGGGACGAGTAAAAAGTACTAACTGTAAAAGTAACGTTTCTAAATGCTCACACAAAAACTGAAAATCCATTGCAGCGTTAATGTTTCAACGGGAATATAAATCTAAAGGTATTCAAAGAAAAAAGAGACTAAAATCTAAAATATGAATTCTATGTAGAAATTATTCATTTATTTATCAAAATAATTGCACTACATGGATTTTAAAATCTAAGTTGATTTACCATTAATATTATATGAAATTAAAACTATTTACAGGATAAATAAAGGGTGTTATTAAAAGTTAGATTGTGTGTAAATTATTATATGCTATTCGAATGAAATAAAGTTTTAACATATTCCTGTAAGGAATAAAAAATTTTGAACAAAATAAGTAAAACACAAATGCAAGAAACAAACATATGGGACAAAGAATATATAGGAACATATGGGGTAAAATAAAAAAGGCATAATGCCGAATGTGTTAAAGTCATAGAGAGTACGCTCCTATGCAATATATTTTGGACAAGCATTTATTTGGGCATGCAGGGGGCAGTAGTGGAATATAAAAAAATATGTATTGGAATATAACAAAAAATTGTGCGAGTTTCAAATTTTTTTTAGATAGATTTTTGTCGAAAAAAATTTTAATTTAGTGTCCTTGTACAATTTAGGCTCAACCCATCCCATACCAATATGGATACGACATTGCCGGTGACCACGGTGAATTCAAACAGACCAGACAAGAGCACGGAGATGGACACGGCAATGTTCAAGGAAGCTACAGCTACGTTGATGCTCATGGAATCCAAAGAACCGTTGACTACGTAGCTGATGGACATGGTTTCCGTGCCTCAGTCAGGACCAACGAACCAGGAACTGACAACCAGAGCCCCGCTGATGTTGAACTCCACGCCAGCCCAGTCCCAAACCCTGAACCAGCATACTCTGCACCCAGATACGCTGCCGCCCCAGCCCCACACTACGGAGGATATGGACACTACTAAAAAGGTACCTTTTCTTTTCTAATTTATAAGTCAATTTGTTCAAAATATATCAAAAACTAATAAATGCATAAAAATGTCATTGCGATATATGTGGAAATCATAAAAAAAAGAGAATAGATTTAAAATTACGAATTACTGACATTGATAGTATAAACATTGATATATAGATGATAGTCTATTGATAGATTGATAGCCTATTTTTAAATTATGTTTATTTTACAGTTTATCTGGTTAAAATACAAAGCCTTTAGGTAAAATTTAAATTATCAAAAAAATTCAGTTTATAATTTTAAAAAAAAATTCTTAGTGTAACATAATTTTTCTTTCAAAATTTCTTTAAAGGGATTGCTAAGTTGAAAATTGTTTTTTTTGAATTTACAAGCTAAAAATATGCGTATTAAGCAAGTTATGAATCCTTTTTGTGTAAAAAACGTGAGCTGCAACTTAATATTTTGGTTTCTTTAACCAGATATTAAGTGACAGCTTAGAAAGCCTAAATATTATTTCTTAATCAGATTAGATACCTATCTTTATGATAATTTTTCAAGTATGTTTATAAATTGTGAATTAAAAATAAAATTTCTTCTTGAAAAATTATTTTATAGTTTTAGCTGTTATGATTTTAAAGAAGGATTTAAAATTTAAGTGTTTCTCCGAGCAACTATTTTTAGAAATATTTTATTATGACATTATAAGTCTCTAATTTTAAGAAAATCTGTCTACAAAATTGAAAGAAAAATTATTTTTTTTAAGAAAAGCGTGATATAATTTACGAGGAAAACATGAAAAAATGAGTTCTTTATATACAGTTATTTATTGCAATCAGAGAAAAAATATTCTTACGTGAATTTTTTTATAAAAACACAAATTTTATCATAGATATCACTTCATTAAATGTTCATAAGCTGAATTCATTAATTTTTCATGCATGTAATTCATATAATTAACATTCATTCTTAAAATTTTAAGTACATTAAAATTATATAGCTGTAAAATACTTGTTTTAAAAAATGTTTTAAATTAATGTTTTGTTTTATTAAACAAGTCTTCTAATTCCAATACTTGCTGGTAGGTTCCACATACGATTGTTCCAGTTATTGTATTTTGAAATTATAAATAAATAACCTAATCAATAATGTCCAAAGAACTCAAAATTGAAACACATTAAGGTATCGATTTATAGTACTACAGATATATTTATTTTAAAAAGGCACATATAGAATTTACAGTAGGTATAGTACTGAAAATAAATAACTCTAAGACAACTTTAATGAAAAGATTGATGTCTATGAGTTGTCCAGTTTTAAAATCTATCACTAAGTGGTACATAGTGCTACCTTTAGAGTTCATCTAGTTATAGCATTTCAAATCTATTTCTAAATATTCCAATCATAAATATCTCATGTTAGGTAGTATACCTACAATATAAATTCAATAAATTCTCATATAAAAATTTTTAATGATATATTTGAGTACAAAACGGGAGCAGGTGTGTTTCTAGATAAAGGTGGGCTCCACACATAATATAACATATATAATATAACAAATATACTGTAGCACATATAATATACAAAATATAACATATGTAAATCGTCAAATGTGTGTCCTTACCAATAATAGTTTACCAATTAAAAAAGTATTAGAAACTAAACAGAAGACGGTGATTCTCCTTTTAACGTATTTTATGCCGTTGTCATTTAGTAAAATTATAAATAAATGAATTTATGATTTTGTTTAGCTAGATATAAATTATATTGATATTAATTTTATAGGGAAATAAATTTAAGATTTTGTTAAGAAGAATTAAATTTATAATTTTGCTATGAAAAATGAATTTCAATACATAGTATTTGTAGATTCCAGTATAAGTAGCAATTGAAGTATTAGTAAATTCATAAAGAAATGAATTTACGACCTGTTTAAAAGTAAAAAATTTGTTTAAAAGTAAAAAATTTAGGATATTTTTAAAAACGAATCAACACGAATTTGTTATAAAGAAATGAATTTATGAGCTTGTTTGAAAAAAGAAAGTTATGTCTTTGTTAAAAATAAACAAATATAGTTCTGTGTAGAGATAAAAGTAAAATTATAAATGAATCTACACGTTTGTCATAAAGAAATGAACTTATGACTTTGTTATAAAAATGAATTTATGAAATGTATAGCTTAGTTCGTATAATAAAAATTTTTCTTTCTCTATTTTCAGGTTACTGCTTTAGGACTCAACACTATAAAAGGTCAAATATCTTAAATTTTCTTTGACGTCTCGTCAAATCATTGAATCAGGGAAAACTTGACGATATTGTGTCTCACGTAAAATGCCATTCTTATTTATTACATAATTTCTGATTTCTATTTTTGGTGAGATGCTTTATCCAACACTGTAAAATTTTATAACAAAAGTTTCTCTTTCTCCAAGGAGGCAACTTTTCTTGTAAAAATTTAGTTAAATAAATTATTTTTTCATTAAAGAAAATCAAGTCTTTGTTTCTGAACTTAGTTTTTCATACACAGTGAACACCATCTTTATCCCATGTAACATGATACGTAAATTAAACGTATATTGGGGAAATTGGTAAAGGCAATACGTTTCACACGTAAATTTTACGTTACATTGACGGAAGGATTTTACCATTGAGATATTTGATGAAATAAAGTTTATATATATATATATATATATATATATAGGAGTTAAAAGAGCTCAATTTCAAATTACATTTTGTTATAGGCTTGAAACCTTAAAAATATGGATTTAAAAAGGATAGAGTATACTTAAATAGAAGGTAATAATTAAAAAGNNNNGTATATATATATATATATTTATTATATAATATAGATGGAATGGATTTTACCAATAGAATTTTTATTAGATATTTGACTTCGGTAAGATTGCTTTCGTACAGTTTTTTTTCAGTAAGAATACTTTTGTATATTTTACGTATGACAAAGTAGTGAATTTACTATTCAGATTTAGTAAAAATGCTTCTGTTTATTTTACATATTATTGACAAAGCATGTTAACCATTTAAATTTAGGTGAAAAAGCTTTTGAATATTTTACGGTATAATGCTGGTGCATATTTTACGGTATAATGCTGATGTATATTTTACCATATATATTTTGGTAGCAAAGCATCCGTTTATTAAACGTAATATAAACTAAACAAATTTTCCAATTTTTTCAATAATATTGTTTTCGTATATTTCAAGAAATTTGACCAAAGAAAAGTTACCATTTTAAAAACAGTATTAAACAGCTATTATATTTTGTGTCATATTGAGGAAGTGAATTTTTATCATTTAGATTTTATTAAAAATGATTCCATTTATTTTATAAAATATTTACGAAGTGACTTTACCATTTTTATTTGGCAAACATACTTTTGTTAATTTTAAGCATTATTGGCGTGTCAAATTTACCATTTGAATTCCGGTAAGAAAGCTTTCTTATATTGTATGTAATAACTGCAATGGAAATTAGTTTTTTCTTTTGGTTAGAATATTGTCGAAAGATGTAGTCAAAATTATTCGCATATTAAGAGCCAGGAATTAATATTTAAACAAGAAAAATGAGAAAACTTTATCCAATTCCGACAAATGACTCTTAAGAAATTTAGGATTAAAAAAACTAAAACCTGTTTGACTGCAGGAAAAAATTAGGAGAGAGGAAAGACTATCACGAATACCTTTAAACTTCTACCAGCAAGAAAACTGTCTCCTACATTAATGGCTCTTCCGATTTTGATGACGAGCTTTTTTTTTTTTTTTTCTTGTCTTCCTTACTAAATTATTTGAGAGTAATAATGCGAAAACATCTTTTTACTACAGTTTTGAAAAGGAATGTAAAAATATACATTGATTCTAAACACCATATAATCCATCATCAGGAGCTTTGTCAAAGAAAAAAAAGAAAGAAAATAAGAAAAATACTTATACAAGCCACTGTGAATTGTCGAGAACACTTCTGCTGTTTTAAGAAAAAGCAAAGTTATGGATTATTAGGGTTGAATTCAAGATTTGGATTTTATTAAACAGTGAAGATATTTCAGTATTTATAAGTATGTAAAGTGAAAATATATTGATGCCACGATAATTGCATTTTATGCAAACTTATTTTTAATCGTTAATTTTTATAAACTTACATTGATTCGTTAATTTTTATAAATTTTATATTTAGGTTGAGTGCAAGATTTGGATTTTATTAATCAGTGAAAACATTTCAGTATTTATAAGTATGTAAAGTGAAAATATATTTATGACACGATAATTGCATTTTATGCAAACTTATTTTTAATCGTTAATTTTTATAAATTTACATTGATTCGTTAATTTTTCTAAATTTTATATATAGGTTGAGTGCGAGATTGGGATTTTATTAATCAGTGAAAACATTTCAGTTTTTATAAGTATGTAAAGTGAAAATATATTTATGCCACGATAATTGCATTTTATGCAAGCTTATTTTTAATCATTAATTTTTATGAAATATAAACAACAATACGAATCTTAGTTTTGAAAGTGTACCTTAAATAAACAGTAATTAATGATTTAAAAGATAAAGAAAAATTTAAAAGAATTCAGTTCTTTAACAAAACAGATTTGGTTTTTATCGCATTTTAATTATTTTTGAATTTGAAATATTTTGTAAAACATAAAAAAATCTGACTTCGGTAAGAACTGAAGATTTTTGTTTCATCAGAGAGTAAGGACAAAATTTACAAAAAACTGAAAAGGAAATAATAGCCTTCGAAAAATTGAATCGAGTTCAGAAAACAAATACATCAAGATGTGGATTTATTTCAATTCAAACAAAGGTAATGGGTAATATTTGATGATTCGTACTTAAATAAAAGCTCCAAAATATTTCCTTTGAAAACAATAATAAACCTTTTAAATAGGATTTTTTTCATAATTTATTTGTTGATGATGTAAAGATAATTTTGATTTCTGAAGTATTGTACATAAAAACAAGTTCATTAAAGAACCTAGAAAACAAGC